TTAGTCAGAACTCTCCACTATGACCTGTCCATCTTGGGTGTCCCTGCATGGCATAGCCCATAGCTTCTCTGAATTACTCAAGCCCCTTTGCCACGACAAGTCAGCAATCCATGAAGGGGCAATTCTGTTTTTATAAACCATATAGAAACTATTTTCAAGTTGCTATCAAAACCAACTTGTTCTGTTTGTAAACATTTTTTTGATATGTAAGTGATCACTATACAGGCAGGAAACGTAACTTGTAAACCCACACTGGTTTCATGCTGCACATTCTACCTCTCTATTACTAGGGTAACATCAAACATGAAGGCAAAGCTGCAAAGGGAATGGGTTATTAGAATGGGAGATGGAGGACATCTTACTCATGGTTTGGCAAGTGTTATGGGCTATATCCAATGTTAGTCTCTATTGAAGCAGAACCATGCATGGGACTTTTAGTTACCACCTACCTTAGTCCTACAGATTTCAACACATCTATGCTAGCTACAGAGAACACTGTATTCAGCTATTTGCACTTGGCCTGTCTCAGTCTAGTTAATTAGTTATTCTCTGCATTCTCTACTAGTCATATAGCTATCATTGCCGATCTTGAAAATACCACAACCAGACATAAGGGCTGAAATCCTGTTCATTTAAGTTCTTCCCTCAGCCCTCCCTGGGAAGGGATTGGAATCTGTGAGGGCTTTATGGCAGGAGGTGGAAGTGTTTACTTTTTTTTAAAAAAACTGCCCTGATTAATGCTGTCATGAGCCATGGAATGTACATAGACAAGATTTAAACCAATGTGTTATGTTGGGAGACTGAGAAGGGCATAACAACATTCCTTTCTAAAAATAATAGAACAATCAGTAATGTCGTTGGATTATTTATAGTGTAATGACAAGTAATCTCATATTCCTACTACATGCTGAGGGTGTGGAGTAGCCATCTTTGTATTTCTAAACTGTAATTTTAAAAAAGTATCATAAAAATCACAGAATTGGAAGAAGGCAATATTATCAAGCTATGTCCAAAGAGAGGGAAAGGGAGAATGCATTACTTTTTAAAAAGAACACAATTCGAAGCTCAGTAACATTCTGGCACATTGATCAAATCATAAAATAACTGAATAAAGTGATAACTAGAGTTGTTGAATATAATTGATAAATATTAGCAGTTATCACTTTATCCAGTTATTTCATGATTTAATCAATGTGCCAGAAGGTTACATTGATCAAATAATGAAATAACTGGATAAAGTGATAACTGCTAATATTTATCAATTATATTCAACAACTCTAGTTATTTGTCATCATTTAATCATATTTGAAAATCCCCAAAATTTGAAAACTCTTATTTTGTAAAGAGACACAACTAAATAATATGTGAAATCAATAACATTAGGATATTCCAAAACCAGTACTTAAACTTCACTATATGTTACTACAGATAAACAACTGTGAATTTCGATCTTCAATTCTATTGTATTTGAACCCCAAGACAAGAATATATGCCAGTTTTACTGTCACTCTTTTTCAGAAATATACGTACCTCCTCAGCTCTTTGAGCTTCTGTGTATTTGTCTAAGTATATTCCTTGAAGTACAGACCCCACAATGGTCAAACCCTTTCCAGCTTTTAATTGACAGGTAAAGGAAAGTAGCCGAGGGTGTTTCACCAACTCTTCTGAATCCAAATTCAACAAAACCAAGACCTGTGGTCTGAAGTGCAACATAAAAACAAACAGTAGGTGCAGGTGAAGTACAGAATGGAAATATGTGATGACTATAGATTTCGATACATGTGGAAACCCATTCCTAACATTTACTCACATGTGATGGGACTGGGTAGATAGGGGAAGTTTCCATTGTTATCAACTAGAGTAATCAAGAATGGACGCAGCCTTCACTTGACTGTATGCCCAATGTGCCTCTTTACTGTTTAGCATGCCCTTCTGTGGGACCCATGAGGAGTTTAATCTCAATGAGGTTAATCGCAAAACAGACAAAACCAAATGGCAGAAAGATTCAATATAAGAGAAGTAAAAGAAGAAATAAAGCCCTAAAACAATTTTTAACAGAAATTGAGAGATCAATAAAATAAGGAGAAAGCATTAACATACGATCTAAAATAAATAATTCACAGCTGGCATTATGAGTTACTAGTGAGTTCAGAGATAAATATCATCTATGGTTTATCATAATGGAAGGAAGCTACAGTTGTTAATTTGTATGACTCAGGTTTGACCACCCAGCCACACAAATTATTAATACTGACCCAGCAGGCAGTTAAAACAGCAGAGTCCAAGCAGCAAGAACAGCTTATATTTTACAATGATGCTGTCAGATATACTGTACTATAATTTACAGCAGAGGTTGGCAACCCATGGATCTCCAAATACCATTCAAACACTAGTCATAACAGCAAACACAGTGAGGGATGATGAGAACTGCAGCCTATATAATATTGCCTATCTTAGATGTACAGTCTTGTTGTAGGCATCCTTCAGTCTTGAGAGACTATGGTAACGTGCTCTGAATAGAGGACTTGGAACAGCGTCTAGTGTGGCTGAAAAGGCCAATATGAGAGTGACAATCCTTTCCACACTGAAGACAAATACAATCCGTCTCCTGTCCAGCTCCGTGATTTTGCTGGTTTCGGGACTGCCCCTTTGCCTCGGCCTGCTGAACAATGGTCTCTTCAAATTGGGAGAGGCCATGCTGCCCCTCCTGCCTCCAGGCTGAACGCTCCGAGGTCAAGTTTTCCCAACTGTTGAGGTCTATTCCTAGGGCCTTCAGATCCCGCTTGCAGATATCCTTGTATCACAGCTGTGGTCTCCCTCTGGGGCACTTTCCCTGCACTAATTCTCCATACAATCTAATTCTCACTATTATGAAACTTAAAAGTATTTTCTGAAATAAAGTCAGAGTTGTGAAATAAAAAGAACCTCCCCAATTTTAATAGGATATTTATCAGTAACCAAAATCTTCTTCTACAGTTACACTGGCGAAAAGGAAATAGTGTAGCTCAACAGTGGCAAACTGCTGCTTTTAAGAATGTACTTGCTTGGATTTTTGGTCATATGCCAAGCCACCCAAGCAGTGCACAATGAGGAACCGAAATGGGGAATTATAAATTGCCTCGCTTAACGGGTGCCCCGTTTAACAACGAATCGCTTTTGCAATCGCATTGCAATGTTGCCTATGGGGAGCCCTCCCCCACGGTCCTCGCAAAGCCCTAGCCGGCATTTTCCCCCAGCTGAGCGGCAGGAGCTTCCGAAGCGGTGGCTTCGGAAGGACCGCGGGGGAGGGAACCCTCCCCCACAGTCCTCCCAAAGGCCCCATTTTCGCACAGCTGATCGGTGGTTCCAAAATGGCCACCCGCTGTGTTGCCTTGCTTTAGAGGCACCGAAAATGGCCGCCCCATGGAGGATTTTCGCATAACGGTGAGTTCCCCCCCCAATAGGAACGCATTAAACAGGGTTTAATGCATTCCTATGGGGTTTTTTTGCCCCGTATAGCGACGAATCCAGATAGCGACGATTTATCAAGAATGGATTATCATTGCTAGGCGGGGCACCACTGTAGTGGCAATTTGCTGCTGTGCATCATGCTATTTCCCATCTGCTGGCATGAGGACATTCCTCAATACTGAGTTACTTCCATGAAATTCACTTCTCCAAGCAAAATCCTACATGTGTCCACTGAGGAATACCTCCCAAGTAAGTGGATATAAGATGATGTGATTTTAGTTTATTCAATGGGCTTATTCTCACCTCCAGTTTTTGGTATGAGGAGGGCCTTGATCAACCCGAAGCAAAGCATAGCGGGCAGCATTCAAAGATAAACCACGGATTCCATCTCCCCATTCTTTTTCAGCTCTGAAAAACAGACATAAAAAGGAATCACTAGAAGAGTGTCCTTTTTGGTATTCTACACAGACAACGTACAGATCTATCTTGGAGTTCTGAGTGACACAACGTTCTAAGTTATGTTTTATTTTAGAGAAGTACTCTCCTTGACTCTGCTGCCATTTAAACCATTGCTATAACTGTGTAAAGAACAGTAATAACAAATGAATTCCATGAATGCAAACCTAGGGGGAAAACTAACAACATTTTGATGGATCTAAGATTAGAATTTCTTGATTGAAGGTGACAAACACGGAAAATTGTTTTTCTAACACTCTGCAGAGATAAATCATCTTTAAATCTGTTTCCAAAAGATATGCTTTATTCTTTAAAAAAACCCCAACAAATTATGGCACAACTAGAATGGAAGCGCAGACCTTTGAAACACAAGTGACAAACTAAAGGCCTGCCAGATACTTCCCTGACATATCCTGTTTCGCTAAAACAAATGGAGGGGTTGCATAAATACACAGCTGCATGGTTATTTCAGGAAATGTGAACAGGGCAAGTTCTTGATCCACTGGATAACTGAATGATGTCTTCATGTTTCTACCCCTCAAATGTATCTTTTGCATCTCTCCCCCCCTCCAACATTATCTTTCAAAGTCAATGGGAGGCAGTTATTTCTCTAAATGAAATTAATTTCAACTGATAGTATCAAATATTAGTTGCTTTTATTTATAAGACAGAATAAGTTGCCCTGTTACGATTCTCATTTGAGAAATTATACTGGAAGACAAATAAATTGTACTCTCACCCTCTGTATTCTATGTATTTGTAAATGCATCCTGCTATCAGCATAGCAACCAAGGCATAATACCAAGAGCAAATGAACATCAAGGCAAGGCACAAACTCATCCCCAGGAATTAAGTTCTCAAGTCAAGACCCACTGTAATTTCAACTGATAGTATCAAATATTCATTGCTTTTATTTATAAGACAGAATAAGTTGCCCTGTTACGATTCTCATTTGAGAAATTATACTGGAAGACAAATAAATTGTACTCTCACCCTCTGTATTCTATGTATTTGTAAATGCATCCTGCTATCAGCATAGCAACCAAGGCATAATACCAAGAGCAAATGAACATCAAGGCAAGGCACAAACTCATCCCCAGGAATGAAAGAGTCCTAAAAGAAAAGAAAAATCTTGGCAACATTTATGCACACTTCCTACTAAATATTGTAGAATAAAAATAATAAGTCTCTCTAGATAATAAGCTGAACAGTATTGAATGCAAGCAAGCACTGTACACATATAAGTTTTTCTAGGCTCCCTCTGGAAACTCACAATCTGCTTAAACAATCCTCAGAGACAAGTAAGGCTGAGAAAGGAGTAACAATATGGCAAGAAACCATTAACATCTCACCTCCCCAAAACAGCAGCACATGAACCTTAACACCCATATCTATTTCTTGAACGGACAGCTCAGTGAGTTAGGTTATCTGGATGCGGAGCCAGAGGGTGGGAGTTTGATTCCTCACTGTGCCTCTATGACAGAGGCTGGACTTTATGATCCACAGAGTCCCGCCCAGCTCTGCAGTTCTAAGATTAAAGACAGGAAGGTGGCTTTTATATATATATTCATGTGCTGACTTACTCCGACCCTTCCAGGGTTTTCCAGGTAGAAGTGTTTTACCATTCCCCAAAGGGGCATATTTCCTTTTTCTCTTGCCCCAGTCTTTCTGTACTAAATAAACGATGACATCCAGAGCACAACTCATTAGTGAATTAACAGTAAGCCAAATAGTATGTAAGGACTAATTTTAAATATATTGGCCCACATCCTGTTGCTTAGCATAGTAAATTGCACTAGGGATTTGGTGAGTCAACCTCTTCATAAACTCCACTGTTTCAATCAGTCTACTCTAGCTGTGACTTATATTAGCATAGTAAGCTGCAGTTAGAGTAGGCCCATTTGAATAAATGGAACTTATGGAGTTGACTCAATAAATCCCCCTAGATTCAATGGGTCTACTCTAGTTTTATTTACTACCTTAAGCAAAAGGATTTGCTAAAAATGTACTCTGATTAAAGCACCTTCCAATTTTCTTTAAGTTGTCTCCAATAGTTTTTAGTGTCTCTTTTACAACAGCTATCATGATCTTGTTGCTGCTATTTACTATTTTGTGATTACTGAGAAAAAAGAGATTAAACAACAGAGAAATCCATGTTTCTTCCCCGCTTCTTAAAGGAATTACACATGATCTTTTATCTTAAGTGATGAAAAATAATACCTGAGAAACTATTCATAGTAACCATGCTTCTTTACAAAATAGAATGCATGTAAATGAAACATTTGTTTAAGTCCTTCAAAACTGAATTTGTGAAGACTATGCCATACCAGTGATAATACTTGAAACGAGGTCTCCAGTTTGGGGTACGGAGAAGAGTCTGAACTGCACATGCCAGGTTCACAAACAGATAACACATAAGGAAAAACCTAAAAAGAAAAACACATTTACAATTTAAATGAACCCTGCCATTCATTTTAGTCTTGGGAACAGAGATGTAGATAAAAGGAAAAGCAAGTTTGAAAGTTACACGGATGAATAGTAACTGTCAAGGTTCCTGTAGACACAAAGAGCCAGTCTGACAGTTCTCAACAATCAAGGGCTGGGACACATACTGGACACAATTGCCTGTGCAGTGTTATTTCAAAAGGACAGAGGTCCATTCAAAACATACAATGAACATGGGCTTCCAGGAGTTAAGAAGGAGGCTGCAGGCTTTCAGCAAATGCCTTCTACTTCTTGGGAGTGACCTGCTTCAGGGAGTAACGATAATATCGCCCTTGTCATGGGACTACTGCTAAGAATGGTGTTTCTCCTGTAGCATTAAGTATCATTTCTTCCACCACTGCATTCAGTATACTATATCGTCACTATAGCTGTTAGGCAATTCCAAGCAGGCTGGCAGAAAAGGAACAAACTAGACTGTTGCTCCTTTGCCAGTGAGCTTGATTTCTGTGCTAGTCATAGAGAAATAAATGCTTCTTCTTCAATATGTGAGAGGTCAGAAAAATATACAATCCCAGGGAAATAACTTAGGTAGGCTTATTTACAAAGCTGACTTAGTCATCCTCCTCCTGTCTTGTAAGCTGCCTTGGGTTCCAATTCTGGAGTATAGGCAGCAAGTAGATAGACAGACGGACAGGCAGGCAGGCAGGCAGGCAGACAGACAACATTAAAAGTAATTGTCCTGCTCTGTGTTATTTGTCTGTTGAAGGTGGGAAAATGAGTGTACAATGACATAAGAAAACACATTTACTTATCCTATATAAGAGTGGTAGAATATACCAGATGGGCAGGATATAAATCGAACAAATAAATAAAATAAATATTCCAGAGTGAGGTGGAGAAAGTTGTCTTTATTAACAGCCATGCACAAACACAATTCTTTCCTCATGTTTTGAGAACCAGAAATATTCTCAAATGTTCTTAGCTCCCTATTATTTTATTTTATTTATTTATTCAATTTGAAATATAGGCAATTCCAAGCAGGCTGGCAGAAAAGGAACAAACTAGACTGTTGCTCCTTTGCCAGTGAGCTTGATTTCTGTGCTAGTCATAGAGAAATAAATGCTTCTTCCTCAATATGTGAGAGGTTAGAAAAATATACAATCCCAGGGAAATAACTTAGGTAGGCTTATTTACAAAGCTGACTTAGTCATCCTCCTCCTGTCTTGTAAGCTGCCTTGGGTTCCAATTCTGGAGTATAGGCAGCAAGTAGATAGACAGACGGACAGGCAGGCAGGCAGGCAGGCAGACAGACAACATTAAAAGTAATTGTCCTGCTCTGTGTTATTTGTCTGTTGAAGGTGGGGAAATGAGTGTACAATGACATAAGAAAACACACTCACTTATCCTATATAAGAGTGGTAGAATATACCAGATGGGCGGGATATAAATCGAACAAATAAATAAAATAAATAAATATTCCAGAGTGAGGTGGAGAAAGATGTTGTCTTTATTAACAGCCATGCATAAACACAATTCTTTCCTCATGTTTTGAGAACCAGAAATATTCTCAAATGTTCTTAGCTCCCTATTATATTAATTTATTTATTTATTCAATTTGAAATAATTGACAATATTCCCAACAGGAAATGTTGCAACACAAATGCAACATCAGGATCTCAGGGATTCTGTAGGCAAGAGCCTCACTCAATCCTTAATTTTTTTTCCTTCCACCTCTACTTAATTGCCCAGTCTTGATGGCTTTTTAATAACATTATTATCTCTGAATCTCAATAAAAGTAATCCATTTCTTATTCTTGACACACACAGAATTTCTGTTCACTTTCTCATTATCTGTTGTATTTCCTATTGCAACATATGTTTATTTCACCTTTCTGGGTTGTCTTTCAAATTTTTTCCCCTATGACTTGTTATTCTTCAGCTTGCTTAATTTGTTCTGCATGCTGCTATCGTATTATAGTATATTTTTTAAAACATTAGTTTCCTCTTTCTTCTTGTATTCTATTATAACTTCTTAGTGAACTCTGTCTTCAGTGAATACAAGTACACATCCTCAGTTTCCTGACCACCCATTCTCAGTTACACTTTGCTGTTACTAGAATTCTCCATCCCCTCCCGGAACATCGATTTGTACTTCAATGCTTCATAAATTAGTAATATTTTATCATTTCTACTGCTATTGAATTGTAATTTTTAAGAAATCTGTTAAAACTCATGGCCTATTGCTCTTACATCATTTTAAGATGCATTGTTTTACTGACTGTATGCTTTCTTGAAATCTACTGATGTAGGCCTGATTAGAAACATTTTAAAGAAACAGAGAAAGAAAATCTATATGCACATACTCACATGGAAAGGATTGGAGCTACACTGTCCAGGGAAGCTATCAAAATGCCTATCTCACAGATAAATGCAGTGAGGAGCAGAGCCCATGTAGGTTCCCCATTTGATTTTCCATGACCAAATACCTACATTTTTTTTAAAAAAAAAGAAAAGATAAGTGCATTAAATCTATTTCAAATACATCAATTCCTAACATGCATAAATTCAGTAGTTTAAGTAGGCTATCATATTACCCCCTGAAAAGATGCTGTTATTTGTTAAACACGAAGCTGAAGCAGCTTGAGGACTGCTGTTCTCTGATTGCCCTTGCCATAGGGAGAGGGGAACACCAGAGCTGATGTGCTCTGAGTGGATTTGAATTTGGAAGCTTATGGCATTAAAAATCCCTCTTCACTGGAGACTGAAGGGGAGGGGAGAGTTGGAAGAAGAGCCTCTTCCATTTTCAGTTTGGAAATGGCTGGGGCCAGAGGCATACTCCTAAGTTAAAATATAATATGGCCTCCTCTGAGATGTAACAGGTTACAACTCTCATCATTTCAAGAAGGTAGTAAAAAGCTGGTGCAGTATGCCTCACCAGTCCTTTGTGTTTTAGAGTGAACATAACTTTTTGTCCACAGCTTACTAGATTAGTTTGCAAACTAGTATGGAATGGGAAACTAGCATGGTCCAGAAGAGAAATTCAATCATGTATCATTGACAAATGTTACAATGCGAACACAGAACAGTCAATGTAGAGGATTTAGGTCACAAAATGTGCCAATATGCAGAAACCCAGGGCCCATCATAATCAGTCTCCTCACATTTTCATCCATGTTATGGCAACTCTCTTTTATGGGGAAATCTACACCATATTCTTCTTGAAGGGGTGGAGGCATGATTCAGTCTGCGCATTGCTACTACACTGCTGTACCATGAAGTCTGAATATCTCTTGCTTTAACAGCTGTGGCTATACTGTCTCTGGCCATTCTTGAGAGGAATGTGTTCATCAACCACAACTATCTTAATGATAGAGCAAAGAATCTGTGTTCCTAGACAAAGTTAAAGACTTAGAATTGGGTTACCCAACAAATTGCTTTGCAGTGGAATTGCAAAAGTGCTGGGGGGAAAAAAACTGAAGGCAAAAACTCACTTGAAGAAATGGTACAATGCCATCTCTAGCAATTGCCTGGAGCAGTCGCGGAGCACCAGTGAGACTCTGGAGACCAGCACCACATGTGGAAAAGAATGAGCCAATTACAATAACCCACGGAGAGGGCCATGCCAGTGTACCGATCACTAGGTTTCCATTAACTGCTTCTCCAAATCTTGTGGGTAAAAGTCACATGCAACATTAAACAAGAAAAAAAAAGAGTTAAGCTGGCTAGTTCCATTCACGCAGGGACCAAGCTACTTTAGAAAGACAATCATAATCAGGTACATAACCATGCATGCCTTATGTTGAACAAAAATGCAATTTAAAAAGTTCAAGGGACTTCTTTTTCAGAAAGAAAGATAATGATACTGGTTTTGCTACGCCTGCTTCTAGGCTGTCACAGCTTCTCAATTCATATTTTCAGTCCCTTAAATTGGCACCGCTAATGTGTGCACATGTATTCTTTAAAAATGAAGGTGAGTGTCTGCTGTTTTACATACTTGTCCCTCAAGACAACTCCTTCTATACAGGCTCCAAAAAGGATTATACAGGAAAGATCTGTAAGTAAGATTCAAGGAATGCAAATGCACATAAAACTGGGTGGGTAAGGGAGGAGATTCCTAAGTCTGTGGAAGAATAACAAAAATAGCATTAGGATACATTCGTATTAAACTTTATTATGTATTTAACGGATTTTTACCCTGCCTTTCTCTTTAAGACCCAAGGCAGCTTACATAATTGAAAATACAATATTTATAAAGCTAAAAATAGTAAGTATGCAAATATTAAAAAGGACTAAACAAGCATTATGTTAAAAATGATAAATAAAATCAATACTAAAAACACATTTAAAAGCAACAGAGCACAACAATCCATTTTAAAAACCCATCTGAGACTGCCAGTCACTAAGGGAAAGCCTTTCTGAAGAGAAAGGTCTTTGCCTGCTTTACAGAAGGACAACAAAGATGGGGGCAGTCTGGCTTCCCATGGGAGGGAGTTCCAGAGTCTGGCAGCAGCAACAGAGAAGGCCCTTTCCTGTGTTAAGCATGAACTTACATTTTCACCAGGAAAGAATGAAATATTGGTTTGCTCGCCCGCAAAAACAGGAAGACTCACAAGCATTTAATTCTGACTGGTTATGTTCCATTTTATCTCCTATTATTTATTACATACAACAGGCTAGATAGAAAACTAAGATTGCGATAACTATATTAACTGCAAAGGAAAGTGTAAGGAGAAAAGCACTATTAGCCCCCCCCCCAAATCACCTAACAGTAGACCTCATTATTCACAGACCAGAAATATGAAACTTGGATCTCTTTAAATTTCATTAAAAGGATACAGATAAATGATGTTGTTGAAATGGCCAGAATTGTTCCAGTTGGAATAGATTTTTGAGCATCTCGAAGATCTCCAGACCTGTTTGAACCTGCCATAATGCCTAAAACCAAGAATAAAACAACACATCACTAAAGAACAAGGTATTGAATTACTGATGCTGAACAAGGGAAGAAACACATTTATGCCAGCTGCTCTATGGGGAAAGAAATAACAGACTGAAATGTATGCATGTACATTTAACTACCTAGATCAAACAGAGGTCAAACACCACTTAGCCTGATAGCTGGAGAGGTAAGAACATAAACATCACCATCAAGCTGAACTATTTGAGGACTACTGAGAAGGTCATCTGGAGTGTTGGAAGAGATCTAAGAAGCGCTTGCCATAGCGGCTACCCTTTGTGGATGGTACAAACTCATCTGTGTAGTTTGCTTATCAACAACCCTTTAAGAGCCTCATGTCCTACATACTTGGCTAATTCTCAGCCCTGTAATTAGTCACAATACTGCTACAGCATAATATAGTATAATCAATCACTACAATAGATAGATAAATATTAATTAACTGGATTTGGAGAAGAAATTTAAGTCAGGCTAAGACACAAACTTAATCATCTACTGTATATTCGCTATGTGTCTGTGCATTAGTTTAACTGATACAAAACTGCTAGATTTTTGAAGAATATATTATATACACAATTCATTCATTCATTCATTCATTCATTCATTCATTCATTCATTCATTCATTCATTTATTAAACTTATATGCCGCTCATCTAGACAATGTCTACTCTGGGCGGCTCACAGCAATTAAATTTAAAACAATTAAAATAACAACATCACAACAAGAGAAGGCCATTCAAGATGAAGAATAAGAGAATAGATTAAGTGGTGCCCGGAGGGAAGGCCTGCCTGAACAGCCAGGTCTTAAGTTGGCTTTTTGGAAATACCTAGAGAAGGGGCCAGACGGATCTCAGAGGGGAGATTGTTCCAAAGACGGGGAGCCAACACCGAGAAGGCCCGGTTTCTTGTTTTTAGTTTCCGGACCTCTCTCAGTGTCAGGCTCCTTGGCTGCCGCTCCTGGCTAGAGCGAGTGATACGAGTAGATCTAGGTGGGAAGAGGCGTTCCGCCAGATATTGAGGTCCTAAACCGTTTAGGGCTTTATATGTAATCATTAAAACTTTGAAGTCAATACAGAAGTGAATGGGCAGCCAATGCAAGGTGGCCAAGAGTGGGGGAGATATGTTGATGTTTTCTCATCCCACTGAGGTCTGGCTGCCGCATTCTGCACCATTTAAAGCTTCCGCATCAATCTCAAAGGTAGTCCTATGTAGAGCACATTACGGTGGTCTAATCTCGAGATTACAAGCGCATGGACCAGAGTGGTGAGCACCCCAAAATCAAGATAGGGATGCAGCTGGGCAATCTGCCACAGATGGAAATAGCTGGAGTGGGCCAATGACGCCACCTGAGTTTCCATGGTGAGCACCGGATCCAGGTGGACCTCCAAGCTGCGAACCTCAGTCTTCGTGGTAAGAGTCACACCCCCAAAAGAAAGGGAGTTTCCCAGACCACTGATGATGGGGCTACCCATCCTCAGGACCTCTGTCTTGCCCAGGTTCAGCCTCAGCCCATTTTCCTGCATCCACTGCAGTACAGTCTCCAAACAGCGCTGAAGGGACAGAACAGCATCCACTGTGGTTGGAGAAAAGGAGATGATGGCATGAAGCCCCACACCCATTGATGACCTCACCCAGCAGCCTCATATAGATATTAAACAGCATTGGGGAAATAATCGAGCCCTGCAGAACTCCACAGTTGAGGCTCCACGGTGCCGAAACTCTCTCTCCAAGCTGAGCTCTCTGAGGACGATCCTCCAAGAAGGATCAGAGCCAGGCTAATGCCAGGCTACCAATTCCCAGCTCGGAGAACCTCCTCAGGAGGATACCGTGGTCGATGGTATCAAAGGCGGCTGAGATATTGAGGAGGACCAACAGAGACATTCTGCCCGTCAGCCTCCCTCAATAGGTCATCCAACAGGGCGACCAATGCTATTTCTGTACCATGGTGTGGCCTGAAACCCGACTGGAATGGATCCAGGGAATTTGTTTCATCCAAATGAACCTGAAGCTGGTCGGCCACCACCCTCTCCACCACTTTGCTAATGAAAGAAACATTGGTGACGGATCTGTAATTGCCAATATCGTTCGCCGCCAAATTTGATTTCTTCCTTAAGGGGCCTAATGGGTGTCTCCTTGAGGAAAGACCCATTAATTATTGCTGTGGCCCATTCCGTTGTTATAGGCCTGGCCGCTTAGCCCGGCCGGGCAAGGATCAAGGGATGAGGTGGTGGACCGACAGCAATCAAGTGCTTTGTCCACAATATCTGGCGTCACAGACTGAAAGAGATCAAGACTCACCGAGCAAGGCGGAGCGTGGACATCTCTGCTCGATCCACTGTATCCAAAAAAGGAGAGTGCTCCCGGCAGATAACATTTAAGAGCCTTCCACCAAAGTAGCTGCTTGTTCTAAATTTCAGTTGTCTAGATTAGCTACATGCTAACCATTTGTATAGGGGATGTGGTGGCGCTGCAGGTTAAACTGCAGAAGCCTCTGTGCTGCAAGGTCAGAAGACCAGCAGTTGTAAGATCGAATCCATGCGACAGAGTGAGTTCCCATTGCTTGTCCCAGCTCCTGCCAACCTACCCGTTGAAAAGCATGTAAATGCGAGTAGATAAATAGGTACCACCACGGTGGGTGTTCCGTGTCTAGTCGCGCTGGCCACGTGACCACGGAAACTTGTCTATGGACAAACGCTGTCTCTATGGCTTGGAGGGAGGGATGAGCACCGCCCCCTAGAGTCGGACATGACTGGACTAAATGTCAAGGGGAACCTTTACCTTTACCTGTTAACCATTTGTATGATGTGTAAGAACTTGCACACCACTTTGAAAGCAAAAATTAAAATATAAGTTACAATACAATGGAGGGAAAAGTGGGTAAGATTTTTAATTAAGAAAAAGAGAATGGCAGTTTCTTTACAACTACGTAGCTCTCGCTCCCTTTTCAGAAAGGAAATTCAGATTCAAGGCTGCATGATATCTTTTATTTTCCCCTCTGCTGGGCTTAGAGAAACGCTGAACGTTTTCAGGCAACTGGGTAAAACAGAAATAGGGAACTTCTGGCACTATAACTGGTACCCACCTAGCCAGTTGAAAACCCTTCCTCTCTCACCAATGATCAGAGATTACCAATCTTAGCTCTGACCTTCCTCTTCTTTCACACACATCATCCCCTCTGACTTCCTCCCTCCCTAAATGCCATGCAAGAATCACCTTCATGAGACAACTGAGGGGAAGCTAAACCTTCCCTGCCTAACATAACAACATCCATCCTAAAGATTGTCTCTCCTCTACTGCAATGATGTTTCTAAAAGGTATGGGTGGGTGCATGCATGTGAATGTGAGACAACAGGTTGTAGACAATCACATTGGAGTACTCATGACAGCAGAGGAGTGAGTGACATCACACGGATACCACATGCATGTCCAGTACCAACTTGGCCCTTGAGATTAAGAACAATTCTCCATCCTAAGAAAGAGGCTGGACAAATTCTAGGCAAGAATACCTCCAAGTACAAATTTCTTAGCTCAAAGCAGATAAACAGATTACTATTAATTTATTTTCCATTACTATGTTTCTAGAATTGGTAATGAATAAAAATAGTTGCCGTATATGTTTCACATGTGCAAAACAGAGAAACAGAACAATTTTTTAAAGTGCAAGTCAATAACAGTATGGCATTGGAAGAAGCACAAGATATACTATACAGTAATGAAAAAATCAATATGGGGAGACTAATTATGGCTGAAAGCTTTACTAGAAACTTTGGGTTTTTAGTACTCAATGTTTTGTGTGTGTACTTTTCGAAACACATACGCATAACAAAGGTTTAACTCATAATGCAAGTGCCCAACTCACTGGGAGGTAAAGTGCTCTTCACATAATTATGTTGTACAGTTCCCAGAGAGTGTCCCAAACACTACAGAGTGTGTATATACCTCAAAACAATAAACAAACAACCCTGTTCAATACAAGATCTCTTCCAGAATCTAAATTGAGAAAAGATAAAGACCAAAATCCTGTGCTTGACATAGTAAATTCCACTGAATCAATGGGGTTTGGAGGTAAAGTGCTCTTCACATAATTATGTTGTACAGTTCCCAGAGAGTGTCCCAAACACTACAGAGTGTGTATATACCTCAAAACAATAAACAAACAACCCTGTTCAATACAAGATCTCTTCCAGAATCTAAATTGAGAAAAGATAAAGACCAAAATCCTGTGCTTGACATAGTAAATCCCACTGAATCAATGGGGTCTGGATGAGTCGACTTCTCTGTAAATTCCATTGATTCAAATTAGCTTACTCTAACTGCAACTCACTTTAGCTTACTCTCACTTAATTCACCATCACCATAACCTTTATTGGCATAAAAATATAAAGCAAATAGCAGTATTCAAATACAGTGGTGCCTCGCTTAACAAGCGCACCGTTTAATGACGAATCCGCATAGCGACACATTTTTTGCGATCGCTAATGCGATCACATTGCGATGTTCTGAATAGGGTAAACATTGCATTGTGATGTTTTGGAACAGCTGATCGGCGGTTCCAAAACGGCCGCCGGAAGAAGAAAATGGCCGCCCGCAGCGTTTTCATGCCAATTCCTCACTTACCGAGGTGGTGAAAATGGCGGCCGGATTGAGAGTTCCCGCTTAGCGGTGAGTTTTGTCCCTATAGGAATGCATTAAACGGAGTTTAATGCATTCCTACGGGGTTCCCCCCCCCGCATAGCGATGTTTCCGGATAGCGTCATTTTTCCTGGAATGGATTAACGTCGCTATGCAGGGCACCACTGTAGATGGGGGATATATACCCCGTATGAAACAGGTTAAAAAGTCTCAATAAAAGCACAATATAGCAGTGCATAGATAGTTCCAAGGTAACACCAATGTCCATGATCTGTAACTTATACAGAAAGGAAAAATTAATTGCATCCAATAAGAATAAACAGGTGGGTTTGTTAAAAGTTGAGTTATACACCGCTGAATTAATAAACTAATAAAGTTGGCGATCTGTCTGGTATAGGTTTTATTCACACCGACCAGAAGATTGTACAAGATTGCCTCCTCCACCTGTCCAGTAAAACTAACAAGGATCAATTCCAGGTTGGAAGAGCGAATGTCATTGTACATGGCGCAGTAGAGAAGCATGTGCTGCAGGGACTCTGTGGACCCAGATTTACCAGGGCAGAGCCGTGTTCCAGAAGTTGCAAATTAAATCTACCATATAAGACACTGGATGGAGGTACATTACATTTAGCTAGGGTGAAAACCTGCCGTTCGTGTGGACTCTTTATGAAATGTAAATAACAGGCTGATTTATTGATATATAATGGCAATTGTAGATTTAAAGATGAGCATACTTTGCAGGCTGCCACAAAGAGTTCTTGCCTTTCCATATCCAGGAGTCTCTCTTTGAGCAGTCTCTAAGACTGAGCAAAAGGTAGAGCGCCCAGGTGGTCTAGGGAGCCAGCCATGGTCCACACCTTTTGTATGAACAGTTTTACACTGGGAGAATGTAAAGAATCAGACAAGACACTCCTAATTAAGGGTCACTGGTGGCCACAAAGCATATTCTCAGTCAGTATTTAAAGTGTCTCAGCCACACTTGTATCCCTAATCTGATTAAGCCTGCCTCCAGGCATAGAGCTGCATATGACACACAGGAAATATAGAGAAAAGGCCTGGAGTCTTTCCACTGAGGAGTTAAAGGCATCCAGCCAGATTGGTGACCCATATAGCAGTTGGGAAACAGCCTTGGCTTTGAACACCCAGGAATATGTACACTAGCCCATACATGAAACAAAGTATTTGTGCAAAACAAAGTACTGCTTGCACCATCAGCTTCACCAAGTTAATAATGGATTGGCGATGTCTAGCCCATGAGTTAAGATAGTGAAAATTAAGCCCTAGGCATTTAAATTCTCATGGATAACTCTCTCATGGAATATCCAAGACTGAGATTTCCAGCTCTTATTGAATATGACTACAGTATTTTAGATTTGCCATAATTGAGAGTAAATTTGTTGCAGGAAAGATAGCTAACACAGTTTTCAATTAGCCTTCAAGGCCAATCAGTACGTGATAGCAGTACCATATTGTTGACATATAACAGTATGAGAATTGCCTGGGAACCCAGTCTAGGACAATGACTGACAACCTCCGACAAGGAAGGGGCAAGATCATTGATGCGCAAGTGAAACAGAGTGGGGGGAAGGATGCAACCCTGTTTAATACCCCTATTAATGGGGAACCTGTTCAGAAAGGATAATGTGGCTGGATAAATGAATGCGGCATGTGTTATCCGTATGCAGTCTCTGGAATTAACTCACCAAATCCCCATTGATTTAATGGGCCTGCTCTAGTGCCATTTCTTATACTAAGCAACATGATTTTGCCCACTGTCTTGCACACTGTGGGATAAACTGAAAAAAGACAAAGTATGGTACACTGTGGGATAAGACTAGGTCATGGTAAATTGCTTAATTCTCTTTGAAAATCTTTGCCGGCTATTTTGAGAAAGCCTTCTTAGGAATCCCAGGCATTTTATCAGTATGAATATTTTCACAATGGAAGATAGTCATTGTTTGTTTCATTCATTCATTCATTCATTCATTCATTCATTCATTCATTCATTCATTCATTCATACCCCACCTATCTAATCGAACAACCACTCTCAGAAGCAAGATGTGTTTCTGAATAGAAGACCCATATGCCAAAGTGGCAAAACTAAAGCTTTGAGGAAAGTGGAAGAAGAATGAAGATAAGGCTCAAAAAGAAGAGGACAGTGCAAAAGTTCAGTCTGTGCTGTACTTGAGATTTCTTTCGGTCAATTAGCTATTGTTAAGACATATTTAAATAGGGCAAATTTGTTGAATCTGAAGACGATTCTTTATCAGAAAGAACAAGTTCGAACAGCTTCTTCTATTACTTGTGTAAGAAATCAAAGCAACCCAAAGACCATATTTTGTCAGGCATAAAAAGAAAGGCTGACAAAATTCCAGTTCATTCTCTCTTCTGGCAGCCAATACTAAAATAATACACTCTGTCTCATATACTCTGAGTGTTCCTATTGTACACCCAAAGACGTATCTTCTGTGCCAACATGAGCAAAATGGTAAGTAAAGTACATACAGATTTCCACACTAAAAGGTTCGTCATTTTTCATATTTACTAGCTGAGTTATTTTATTCTTACTTACACATTTAGATTTTGAGCCAGGCATATAAGACTAAGGACAAAGACCATAAGTAAATTATCTGGCATTTTAACAGACTATTGGAATTCTACGTATGTAAGATTCTTGCAAAACTAACTAGTCTGCATTTAAAATAAACAAGATTTCCATTATGACCATTTTCTGACATTTTTTCCCTGTGATGAACTACAGGGGATGTAACAAACCATCTCCAGTTGAGAAAGTACTCAGAAGCGGCTACCAAAAACTTCAGAATAAACACAATGTTTCAAATTACAGTGGTGCCTCGCATAACGGGTGCCTCACACAACGATGAATTCACACAACAATGCCTTTTTCTGTTAAATTTGCCGCCTCACACAGCGATGTTTCCTATGGGGGATTTTCACACAACGATGTCTCTTTTTCATTCCTGTAAAAGTGTCTTACAATGTTTGGAAGCCGTTTTAAATGCTTGCAATGGTTAGCCCACCTCCTGAAACCTATGCAAACTGATTTTGGTGTTGTTCTGACACTTCGTTAATTTATGGTAATTTTTTGTTTTCTCCATTGAAAACGATTGAATGGTCTGTCTAATGGTTTCCAATGGAGAAAACAAAAAATCACCATAAATTAACGAAGTGTCAGAACAACACCAAAATCAGTTTGCATAGGGTTCAGGGGGTGGGCTAACCAGTGCAAGCATTTAAAACAGCTTCCAAACATTGTAAGACACTTTTACAGGAGCAAAAAGGGAGATCGGGAAGAGCTTTAAAAGGCAAACGGAGATCAAAGAGCCCTTTCCCGATCTCCCTTTTCGCTCCTGTAAAAGTGTCTTACAATGTTTGGAAACTGTTTTAAATGCTTGCAATGGTTAGCCCACCTCCTGAAACCTATGCAAACTGATTTTGGTGTTGTTCTGACACTTCGTTAATTTTTGGTGATTTTTTGAATTTTCTCCATTGGAAACCATTGAATGGTATTCTAAAAACTCTAAAGCGGAGCTCACTGACAAGGCCCTCTGGCTAATTCTGCTTAAAATTAAAATTCTGGTGGCTCTGGGATCCCTAGTAACAGCCTGGACTCCGTTCAGTCTTTCTCTTATCATTAATTCAAGAGTCTCCCTCTTTGATGTTTGTAGACAAGGTACAATCTACAACCTACAATGTGAACTGAGGATTGCCACGTTTTTGAATGTGGAAGTAAAGCAGAGAAACTCTGACAGTAGTCTGTGCCTTGAGTATTTCCCCACCTATTGGCAACTAGCCAGAAAATGAAATCCCCAGGGTATCCATTTCTCTCAGTTGAGTACCTTTCGCCATTCTCGCTTCATTTTTTCTCATTTCCTTCTAAATCTACCCATTTATGTCCCTGCAGTACCCCATTTCTCACTTAGTCTAACTAGAACCATACAGATTTCCAATCTCTGCTCTCCAATCTCAAACTCCCCCCCCCATCCTCAACTTTCTCCATCTGTTAAGGGTACCAGAACCAGACTACTGGCTAAGGCAGAGAGGCATCACCTCTTCAGTCCCAAGGATGATATCTGATGCTGGCCTGGGGTCCGTATGTTCCTGTGTGTGAATGGACACCTAAGCAAACACACTCATACACTTATACCGCAGTGATCCTAAACAGACAATGTTTTCTTCACTGATAACAGCAGTGGAGAATGAGAGATCTATATGAGATTTGTCAGGCAAAGGAGAGGTAAAACCAGGGGTGAATCCCTGGGGCATCCTTGGGATGCAGTTAAAACTGGGGTACAGGCTATGCTAGGGATGCTTTATTAACCAAAAATCTTTCTCTTATTTAATTAACATGGATGGATTTGATTTTTTTTTTTTTTTTAGAACTCAGGTCATTAAAAATAAAAGTATGTTTATTTGGACTTTTAAGCAAGCACACTTGGCTTAATTGTTCCCAGAGATCGGAAATATTTCTGGAAAAATGTGTATTAACTGGGGGGGGGAGAGAGCCTGAGTTAAATGTGACCATGAGAGGCAGTCCTCGTTAATAGCACATTATTGAAATTTTCAGAGATGGGACACAAGAAGCCATGTTCTGCTTCCCTTATTAACCATAGGAGGTAACCAACTTATATTATTTCTCCTCCTTCTTATGTGCTGTTTACTTTGAAACACCTAGTCAGAATGGCGCAGGAAATTTCTGGACACAGCTGGCGTTTCCCTTTGTGGAAAGGGAAGTCCTTTGTGGAATAATCATGTGAGTAGCACTGCATGGTCACATGGTCATTGCAGAACGGATTACCAGCCATAGCAGCCCCATTCTCCAGGAGGACATCCATTGTTGGTAGTAGCACTGCCTTACAGTATGCAGCTGGAGACTGCTGCAATTAACATCCTTTGTGAAAACTGTAAGGAAATTCCTCAGTGAAATTCATAAGAAAATTAGGCATGGATGGAGTTTTCCTTAGCACAAAATTGCCACAACTATCAAGGCAAGGACCCGAGAAGCTGAAGATACCTAATCCTAGTCTCTGCAAATATAAGAGCTTGCTTGTTTCTTGACATCCAAGGAGGAGTAGGAGAAGGCATATGAAATTCAAGAAGTAGCATTAAAAAAAGAGAATACCTGTCACAGATGGGAAATAGATCCCCACTAGCATAGTGAAATAGGTCATGATATCTGTATATACATAAACACTGAATCTTTCTTTTCCCTCTTCTGAAGCAGGAACTGATGGAACATCCTTTTTCTCCACAATTGCTCCTTTATCACTATACACACTCCACAAGTTATCTGTAGGGATTTAGTGCAAGATTTTATTCACTCTCTCTGTTATTAAAATAATTATATCTTCTGTATACCTCTAGACACATACTGTACATACTCTAGCTTCAACAAAAGGGCCTCAAGGGGGCCTTCAAAAGATTCAAGTCCCTCCCCTCCAATAAATGAGAGCATGTCATTTGTTTAGACCATGTCTGGGCGGTTACTAATACATATCCAGATATGATTAAGGCAGTCCACATCCTGCTGAAGGGACTGGTAAAACAATTCGACTTGGCAGAGGTGGACTTAGGTTTCACTCAGACCATCTGGGACACAGAAGGCTCAGAGTACACTTGTTGCAAACTATCCTTAGCTATACACCAATTGTTGCATCAATTGTTGCATCAGTAGCTGAGATCAAATAGTAGGAACACTTTATTTATTTATTTATTTAATTTATTTTATTTATATCCCGCCTATCTGGTCGGTTAAGACCACTCTAGGCGGCATGACTCTTTGTCTTCGCTTATAAAGCTAGCAATCCTGACCTACATGACTACTCTTCTGCTGATGCATTTTAAATCACAATTGAACTAGCCCAAACATAATGAGAGGGCCTGCAGTAAGTGTGAATCAATCTTAAGGAGAATGGGAGTGATAGCACATTTTTCTGTACGCCCAGAATTACTGGCTAACAATAACCAATTAGCTGTTATAAAAAAACAAATAACACCTGTCACAGATGGGAAATAGAGCCCTACTAGCATAGTGAAATAGGTGATGATATCACAATAATGGTTAGAGACTCACCAAATAGGACTCCACTTGCAACTCCAGGAATCCCTTGAACTTCTGTGACATTGTTTAGACGAAAATACTCATCGCATGCAGCATTTATTGAGGAGTTATCACCGCAGAACTTTTTCCACAAAACAGTAGTCTCTGTTACATTGTTTAGTACAACAGTTTTGGCACAAAGGTAATCATCTCTCACTAATGTACGGTTTCCAAGAAGACAAATACTGGAACACAATAGAAAGAAGACACAACTGCAGCATCTAAATAAGGACAACCAATCTAAACTAGCAGTCACTTTCATGTCCACAAGCTGATCAATGCTACTCCATTTGGAAAATGTTTCTTCTATCCTAGGAGAACAAATGTGTTTTACAAAATAATGATAAGTTTGTTTCACAGATGCTCATGCTCTTATTTCCGCTTTTAATGATAGTTCTCTCTAACAATTAATAGAGTCACATAAACCAGCCAGTTATGTTGAACTACTGTACTGCCATCACTTTTCTCTATGCGTATATTTAGTAGTCCTAGGCTGTTTAAATGAAGGAAGGTAAAGCCTGAAGAGACTGAGATGTTTTTCAGGGATAAAGCCTACTCTAGCAAATGAAGAAGAATATAAAGACTAATCAGATGATGTAACAGTGGGCTTTTGCTGAGCAAGAGAAGAATGGAAAGCCTGAAAAGGATTTGCTGCTGAGGTGATAAGGTCACTTGATGCCAGGGCAACTAAGCATTTGATGTGTTGACTTAAGGAAATGTTTATCTCTAGGCACCAGAGATGAAGAGCTTCTGATGAATGTCCAGACTACTTGTCAGGAACCAGGAGAGCAATTTTTACTGTATACAGTTCATACACAGAAGAGCTACAAGAGATTCACCTGGACCAATGCTGTTGGAATTGAAAAAGGAAGACAGTTTTGATGAGAGATATTAGAGAAGAAGAGGGGAGTCACAGAACACATATTTCAGAAAAGCTATGGTGATGACATTCTTCTTAGAAGCTATAGAAGGTGCACATATTTCTGAAAACAAAAGAATAAGGAAACAGCTAATGGAATTGTAAGATAGGACTGTTTTAATAGTATCTCAGATTTTTGTATATCAATTATAAAGAAGACTCAGAAACAGAATAGTTGCTTAGTACACAAGAGGGAAAAGCTCGATCCAGAGAATTCCTGTACAGAAGAGCTTGGAGGAAACACTGCTTCACTGCTGCATGCTATTTTTGTTACTGACATGCTGAAGATGGGCACTATTTAGAATTGCAGAAAACTTTTCATGCTGATTAGGAGGGAAACTCCGAAGGGCTTGCTAACAAAGCCATCAAGGTCCTTAAGCTATAATGGCTCCCAAACAGGTGCCGCTGAGGAAGACTAAACTGTCATCCTTAAAAAGCTTACTTTTGGATTGTGTGGCCCAATTACAGTGGAACCTCTACTTAAGAACTTAATCCGTTTTGGAATGGTGTTCTTAAGTTGAAACGTTCTTAAGTTGAAGCAAAATTTCCCATAGGAATGGACTGAAAACCAATTAATCCGTTCTGGCTGTTTTTTGTTATGTAGAGGTGCATTCGTACATTGAAGCATTAGTTCCCATAGGAACTAATGCAAAGCTGGTTAATACGTACTCTACCACTAGGGGGAGATTTTTTTTTTAACCTAAGATGCCCTAAGGTTAAAAAAAGAGCAGGAAAGGTTTTTTTTTCCTGTTCTTATCTTGGATTTCTGTTCTCAAGTAGAAGCAAAATTTAGCAAATGGAGCTGTTCTTAAGTTGGATTGTTCTTAAGTAGGGACGTTCTTAAGTAGAGACCCCACTGTATGGAAATCGCAGTCGTGCATTCCAGGTCTAAATAAAGACTCTCTAGGCACCCTAATCTTTGAAACCTATCATTTCTATTCCCTGCAGCCCTTAAATGGAGTAGCAATACAGGTGTCAGGACAGAATTGAACATTTAGTAAATGAGAGAGAGAGAGAGAGAGAGAGAGAGAGTTGAGGATGCTGCATTTTGCTCATCCCCAGTTATATTAAACAAATGTTCATCCCAACTAAAATAGAGCCATTATATCAATATGACTTATATTAGCATTGGTTTAATGAATCATACTATTTTGATAAGTATAATCCTGTTGTGAAGAACAACTGGATTTCACTCAATTAGTCTGGGAAGACTAGTACTTATTAAGGAATCAAACAGCAATTTGATAAAAAAAACTGCAAAGAATGAGGTTATTAATTATGTACTGTGAGTTGAGATTTGAATGTATTTTAATAGCAATTACAGTATTTATACCCCTATATTGGCGCTTCATACTTGTGTTGTTTTTTACAACAGAGACACAACTCCGGCCTTGTTGTTGCTATAGGAGCAAGAAGAGTCAAAATAGTAACATTTGTCACAAACATCATGATAGATATTTAAGAGCTGTGTTACTTACCGGAAATCTGGTGGATCAAATGCCGTTTTAATAACACCAGCATAAATAGCAATAATTGAAAGGATTACACAAGCCAAAAAAACGAGTGCAAGTTTATTGACATATTTGACTCCCACAAAAACAACAATGGCCATCATAGTAAGGATGCATGTTCCATAAACTCTCATGTTGTTTAAAGCAGCCTCTTCACCTCCAGTAAAAATAGCAGCATTAGGGGAAATGTATTTCTGCAGGAGAAATGAAACAATATTGAACAGATTTTTAGTACACAATTCTGAGCCAATTCTATTTTAAATCATTTAACTAGTATACGTTGAAAACAAGGAGTTAAAATGAGAAAACATGTTTTTTAAAATAAATGGGAAAACAGTACAGTACTGAACAAAACTAATTTATCACCTAGACAGCTGAGCTCTCGTCCTCATTGATTGTTTATTTATTTATTTATTTTATGTATATCCCGCCTATCTGGTCATGTCAGGACCACTCTAGGCGGCTAACAACATTAAAAGATAATACAATAAATATATGTATAAAAACAATTTACATAACAGAAATACTGAGCAGAATGGGAAAGCTAAAGGAGGGGGGGTGGAAAAGGGCGTCAGGAATTATCTGATGGGAAGGCCTGCCTAAACATCCATGTTTTTAATTGTTGATAAAGATGAAGGAAATTTGAGATATAGTTACATGTGATTTATTCAAAGAGTTGGAAAGCCTGCTTTGGAGAGTTGAAATGCTTGCTTTGCTATGTCCTTTATAGCAAACAGAGGTTTATTCTGTGTGCCTGACTGTGCCACTACTTGCGCAACTTGACTGCACAGGTAACTGCAACAACTGATTGCAGAACTAGTTGTGCAACTATACCTATGGAACTGCTTCCAGGACATGACTTCCATCTTCATGCAAATTTTGTAATGGTCTGTGCAACTTACAGGCATAGCTACACAATAGGATTCTGGCCAATGAAATATAGCAGTAAAGCATGACATGACACGTTACTAGGAACAGGCAACTTGTGGACTGAAAGGGGGCATTTTACTCTCATGTTTCAGGAAGACATCCCTTTGGTTGGTCAAAAGTCATCTATGATACTAGGTTTAGATTCTATAAACAAAGGAATGTAAACAAAATAATAAACCACTTTAAAATGCACAATAGTTATTTTTTAAAAAAAGTTCAGGGTAACCAGCATAGAGAGAAAAGCTGTATGTTCAGTAAGTTTAATGAAATACAACTGTAGCCCAAATATTGGCTATTTGCTTACTTATGGATTTATTAATTAAATACGTATAAATTCTGTAATTGGTAAACCATTTCTGAAGCAAGAAATATTCATTTGTCTAGCTGCTGGATATATCATAGCTGACATCTTTTTGGAAGAGACTTTTCTCCCATGCAAAAAAGAAGTTGTTCTTCTAATAAATAACAGTATTAATTGAGGGAGCCACATTTACTGTCAATTAAACATTTTTAATCAGTTATAAGTTGCAGCCCTAATTCTATGCCCTAAACTCTTGGATTTCATACAGTGTGTCATTCCATATTCAAACTTCACACAGGCTATTATTATTATTATTATTATTATTATTTTTGAAAATATGACTCTTGATCTTTTTAAGCCAACTGCTGCAGTGCTTTCAGCAGAAAGTTTGTTGTTGCTATGTGCTGTCAAGTCACCTCCACTTTATGTCAACCCTATGAATGAGATATCTCCAAAATACAAAATATCCCGTCCTCAACAGCCTGGTCAGCTCCTGTAAACTCAAACCTATAGCTTCTTTTAAGAAGTCAGTCCATCTCATATTTGGTCTTCCTCTTTTCCTACTGCCTTCCAACTTTACCAGCACTATTCTCTTTTCAGAGAATCCTGTCTTGTCATGACATGCCCCAAAATAGGACAGCCTCAGTTTCAACATTTTTGCTTCCAGAAATAGCTCAGGATTCACTTGTTCATTTTCTGGCAGTCCAGTGTATCCACGAAGCTCTCCTCCAGTACCACACTTCATAGGAATCAATTGCTTCATTGTCAGTTTTCTTTGTAGTCACGTTTTCACACCCATACATAGTGATCAAAACACAAGAATGTAGATTATCTTCATCTTCGTGTCCAGTGACACAACCTTACACTTCATGATGTTTTCTACTTCGTTCATGGCTGCCCTCCTGAGTCTCAGTCTTCTGATTTCTTGGCTGCAGTCTCCATTTGGATTGGAGACTGAACCAAAGTGTACAAAATCTCTATTTCAATTTCTTCATTGTAAAATGAAAGTTGTGTAGTTATTCTGTAGTCACAGTTCTTTCTGCTTTGGCATTTTCTTCTTTCACTTTCCTTAACAGTTATTTCAAGTCATTGCTGCTTTCTGCCAATAAGATGCATATCTTAAATTATTGATGTATGTTTCACTAATTTTCACTCCTCCTTCATCTGAATCTAGTCTAGCTTTCTGTATGCTATGTTCTGTGTAAATATTGAACAGATAAGGGGATAAAATACACCCTTGTCTGACACCTTTGCCTGTAGGAAACTGTTCTGTCTCTCCGTATTTTGTCCCAATACTGGTTCCTTGTCCACAATACAAATTACATATCATAAGAATCAAGTGCTGAGGCACATAAGGTCCTTTCAGAACAACCCATAGTTTCTCATGATCTATGCAGTCAAAAGCTTTGCTGTAGTCTATAAAACAAAAAGAAGGGAATGGTTATTTGGGACTAATATAGTGCCATAAGACATAAACTTTGGGAGACAAGGAGAACTTACCAGGAGAATTTCAATTGTGCCAAGAATATACATGGCCCCTGCGAAAGTTGTGCCCAAATAAAAACAGAGCCCCACAGCTCCACCAAATTCTGGGCCTAATGATCTTGAGATCATGTAATATGAGCCACCAGCTGTGAAATTTAAATTGATAAAACACAAATCAGAACGAGGTATAACATGCTAAGTATATTCACAACAGATTAACACTGTTTACTTAATTTAACTATTACATTAAGTGAAATTAATTTGATTTAAAAGGATTTTAAAAACTGCCTCAATAACAATATACCGTATTTTTCGCTCCATAAGACGCACAGACTTCCCGCCACCCCGTTTTGTGGGGGGAAAGTGCGTCTTATGGTGCGAAAAATACGGTAGTTTTATGAATTACTTAATAAAGACAGAAAATACTTCTAAGTTTGTAGACTTAGTTTAAATGCATTAATTGAAATTCACAATATATCATATTCTTATGGCATACAAATAATGTACTGAGCATGGTAGTGTGCCTTAAGAGAACTGTAGGTATCCTACAGCTCCGGAACTGTTAAAAAAACGACACTGCTCTGCATGATTCACAGCTCTGTTCTATTTTCATCAAAGCAGCCTTCACTAGGGTAATTCTACCATACCCTTAACAGAAGGCTGTTAACTAGAATGTCTCTGAGTCTAATGTTCATAATTTTCAGTTAAATATATAACATTTTTTCCTATTTACCTGGTGTTAAAATATTCCTACTCCACCCTATCTCTGAAGATCTCAAGCCAGGGTAAAATCAAATAACTCAACAAAATTAAAATAAAGTTCTCAAAAATACTAAGGACCACACACACACACACACACAAAAAAAATTCAAGTAAGAACTGGGCAAAACAACCTAGAGATAAGTGAGATATTTAAGGAGTGGTTTTACCAGTTCCACACCCCCAGTGAGTTTCCATGGCTGAGCGTGGATTTGAACCCAGGCCGCCTATAACCTGGTCCATCACTCTATCCACTACACTGCACTGGGTATTATCCACCACTCACCTAGAAACAAACAATATCCGAAACATTGTCCTAGAAAGCACCAAACTAAAAAATTGCCTAGATAATCCACCACCACCAATACATCTTATTTCACTAACTGGCTAACATAATGCTTGGATTATTAAAAGGTAGATATCAAGGACCTGGAAGGAGATTGGCAAAATTGTTAGAGGAACAATAATTAAATAACTGATTTCTCCTGTTAAGAGGGATAAGGAACTACTAGAAGAGAATTTGAAGGAAAGGCAGAAGCAATCCCGAAATCTGGGATATGGTTTTACTTCCCAAGCTTTATGTGGTTTAACTTAATGCTTTTAAGATTTTTTTTTTTAAAAAAAGGCAGGACAATCTCTTTTTTTGCACATTAAAAGGGATCTCACCCAGCCATTTTTTTCATTTATAAGTTATAGGAAAGGCGTCACTATACAGCACTGATTTTGATAATAGCACCATCGGAATCAAATGAACCCATTTACTTGCAAGTAAACATGTTTGGAATCTGGATAGTTCATGTTAAGACTTAGAATATCACTGTTACCGCCACTTCATTGTGTCTGAATAAGTGGACTGTAATTCATAAAGCTGTATGCTAAAAGAAATATGTTAGTGTGAAAACCACCATGAGATAATCATGAAAATCCTACTGTCTCTGACACTCATGTAACACAAATGGTGTCACTTTGCAGATGAATTGCCTCGTGTTAACAAATCACTGTGGATATTGTCTGCTGTATACTGTATGGTTCAAATTAATATGTAACAGATAATGCCTACAGTGATTTCTTAACTTGAGGCAATTTACCTACAAAAATACTGACATTTGTGTTACAATTGTGGGCATAACTGAGCAAGACTTTGGCCTTTCTTTTGTGTTTGTTATACATACTGAAACCGGCTAACAGCATGATCTTTTTGAAAATATGCAACCACTAAATTAGTTTTAAGCCTTTCCCCTGGACTACCTCTTTGAAAATAACCACAAAGTTAGTTTCAAGCCATTTGTCTATGGGGAAAAATGTGTGACAGAAGCTACATGGAACATTTGACCCCATACAATATTTTATATGCTCTGTTCTTGGAGTAGGTGCTGGCAAGCATTTATTCTTTGCCTCATCATCAAGGTTGAGATAGTCAGAAACCTTGGTTACATCAGTAAAGGAGGATGACAATCTATCAAGCCTTCTGGTGTCCAGCCATCAAGCTAGTTTCCTATAGGAATATATGGTTCTTGACTTTCCAACACCAAAGGCTGATCCATGTTAAAACTGATATGAATTGGATGCTTTGGGTTGACAGCTACCCTGAAGAATCACTGGAAGCTTATGCTACAACATACTCGCCCACTCCCATAGATCGCCGAAACAAATATCCAACAAACAGGCGGAAATCCAATAATAAGTCACAACCAGGGTAGGTTCACTGAATTAGCAGCCATTTGGTGAATCAGCTCCTCTGTAAGCTCCATTGATTCAAATGTGCCTATTCTAGTTGCAACTTCTTTAGTGTAGTAAGTTACACTAAAGTAGGCCTATGTGAATCAATGGACTATATGGATGAGATGACTCACCAAATTCCCATGGGCCTGCTCTGGAATATATATGGATTTAAATATACACCCACAGGTACCCAAATGCATCTACACCTGATGTAGCACTTGATGTTCATTTAGAATGTAATAGGCATCACTACAGATATCACCTCTGCTTCTTCTGGTTTCTGTTGTTCAGAGACACTATGATTTCAGTGCTACACATCCATTTCTCTTGTTGCAGGCAAGTTCACAGTGACCTTCACAGTACATATAAAAGGTCTCAAATCCGTAATTGGCTGTCTGTTGCTAAATGGGAAGCAGGAAGTAGGTCTTTCCCATTGCTTACCCCATTATGGTACAGCAAAGCTCTTGTTAGTTGTAATGTTGCTGCAGCCTAAGAAAAGCAAAGGGGAGACCTATATACACACACACACCCAGCTTGTCTGACAAAGAGAACATTGCTGGCAGTTACAATAAGGTAGTCTTTCATTTTCCTTGGCATGTCCTGTCTTGTTTCATCAAATCTACCTTGCTTAATCAAAGGCATGCTAAGACAAATATCATAGGCTAAGGCTAGTCTCATTATGGGAAGAAGGACACCTCCTTCTTCTAGTATCTTTCCACTGAAATATACTCTCCAAAGGGGAAGGCAATGTGGCTCTCTTGTTGTGTACTCCCCATGTGCTTGCCACTTTATACAGACAGCCATTTCATTAGTATTCAAGGATCAATTGAAAAGCATATTAAACATGATTTAACATATAAATAAAGTCAGTAATTACCTGGAACCACGCCATTTGTTGCTATTGCACTCATTGATATTGCAGTTAGCATAGTCTACAAAAAAGGGATATTGGAAAATGTTACTAATAAATCTATTCATCTATCCATCTATCTATCCATTCATCCATCCAATTTGTATCCCACTCCCATTAGTGTCACAGCACTATTCTGAATGGATTACATATAAAAGAAGAAGGGAAGAAGAAGGGAAAGGAAAAAAAGGGGGGCAAGTGTTCAGCTGGGGTTGGAGTAGAAAGCCTCTCTGAAAAGCAATGTCTTTAATTGCTTCCTTAATGTCAACAGGGCGGGGGCTAGGCAGAGCTCATCTGAAAGCTGGTTCCATAAAACTGGAGCCACCACAAAGAAGGCCCTCTTGTAGAGGATTTATGGGCCTCCTACAGGGTGGCCGCCTGGAGAAGCCTTAATGCGATGACATTAAGGAAAGACGCTCCACTAAATAACATGGGCCCAAAACATGGAGGGCATTGTATGTGTCAGAACCTTGAACTTGATCCAGGAGGCCACAGACAACCAGTGGAAGCAGGCCAGAACTGGAGGGACGTGGTCAAATTTGCTTGCATCCACCACCAGTCTGGCCGCTGCATTTTGGACCTGCCAAAGTCTCCAGATCAGGTTCAAGGGGAGCCCCACGTAGAGAGGACTGCAGCAATTGATCCAGGAAATGATCAGGTCCTGCACCAAAGTCCTGAGGGAGTTATTGTCTAGGTAGGGGCGAAGTTGGGCGATTAGCCAAAACTGGTTAAAGGATTATCTGAACATGGCTGCAATCTTCCAAGAAACAGCTGGATTCAGAAGAATGCCCAAATTATGCACTTGGTCCCTAATCTGGAGGGACCTATCAGTGGCCATTCCCCCCAAGCAAAATCTCTGTTTTGTTTGGGTTCAGTTTGAGCCTGTTAGCCCTAGTCTGTTCTAGTACTACGACCAGGCAATGCTCAAGCATTTGGATGGCATCCACTGCGGAGGTGGTAACTCCAAATCTCTTGATGACCTTCCCCAACTGCTTAACATAGATGTTAAACAGAATCAGGGATAGGGCCAATCCCTGAGGAGCCCCAAAACATAGGGTCCAAGATACCAACAGCTCCCCTAGCTGAACTCTCTAGACATGGTTTAGCAATTACTACCGTCCCAAGAAACCCTGAATGCCATTCATTGGGCAAAGTTAGAGAAACTATCTTTCACATGTTCTAGGTGGTGAAGTACAGTGGTGCCTCGCTTAACGACATTAATTCGTTCCAGCGAAATCGCTGTAGAGCAAAGATATCGTAAAACGAAAAAAAAAACCACATTGAAACGCATTAAAACCCGGTTAATGCGTTTCAATGGGCTAAAAACTCAATGTCCAGCGAAGATCCTCCATACGGCGGCCATTTTCTGTGCCTGTATAGCGAGGAATCCATCCCTAAGCACAGCAGGGAGCCATTTTGAGCACCTGGCGGCCATTCTGAAAACCTGACGATCAGCTGTTTTGATCATTGTAATGCGAAGAATCAGTTCCCAAAGCAGGGAACCAATCTTCACAAAGCGAAAAAACCCCATTTAAAACATTGTTTTGCGATCGCAAAAACATCGTCGTGAAGCAGATTAGTCGTAATGCGGGGTAATCGTTAAGCGGGGCACAACTGTACAAGGTATGTAAAGAGATATGAACTGACTGGGGCATTATAAAGATCCCAGAGCTTGTTGTTGCCAGTAGCTATTTAACGGAGTGGAGAAGGTTCATCTGCAGGACTGCAAACTCCAGTTCATATCACTAAACTTGTGCAAACACTAGTGACAAGAAAGCCAATCTTCCTTTCTTTCTCACACTGACACATAATTCAAAAGAGAATTTGGATGAGATAGATTACTGGAAAAGGCTGAATGCCAGTTTCATACAACCGGTTGTATACAAAAAGGTAATACATATGTGTAAAACCCACTTATCAGGAAAAGAAAAAAGAAAAACCAAACACTTAAGTTACAACATACCAACTGTACCAGGATGACAGTTCAAGGTCAAGAGGAAAAAAAAACAGATTGGAAGAAAGCCAGACACAAGCCAGTTCCCAGACGATAACGTCTGCAGTCTTTAGACCACGTCACTACAAAGATACAGAACTCACATCTCTTGGCTCTGAACATCGGAAACAATATCTCACCTCATGAGTTGTTAGGAAATGATGTTGCTATTTAAAGTGAGAACAGTTGGAAACAAAAGGAAAGGGAAACTGTCCAAACTGGGGGCTGAGCCAATCAGCTGTTGGGGAGGGACCCATTTGTCTTCATATCCTATTATCTACAACCTCTTTAGGTGAACTGCTTCCTCTCAGAATCAGAGTCAGTCTCTCTCAGTGTCAACGTCAAAGCCAAAAATGAAAGGAGGGGGAAATATCCAAAAACTTAATGCCAGTTAAACAGCTTAACAAGGATTATATATTCTAAGTGTTTAATAGCAAGTAAATCCAGGGATATTGTAAGATCCTAATGCAGTGTAATAAAGAATTAATTGGGATAATGTTATGCTCTAAATTTTATGATGCACACAGATGGGAGAAAAGATACAAAAGCTATTTTGTTTGCTTTCCTCAAAGGCAGCAAATGGAATCTGATTTCACTTTCCCCTTCCCAAACGCTGAAAGAGAGACTGCTCAACACAAAAGAGCTGTGCTTCAAAATAATTCTTTTTCAGAATGAAGAATGTAAAACAGAACACGATGACACACAAATACGCCAGGATGTTTTAAGCTGATTTCTAGAAATCATTATTTTCAATAGTTTTCAGTCCCTGAGTGGAAAACAGATCTATACAAAACCTGTCTCTCCTCCACATGTATTTTATTTTCAAATCTATTTAAGATCAATTTACAATTAAATAACATGTCATGGCTTGGAAAACGGAATTAGAAATACAAAGCATTTTGTACACCAGACGTGTCTGAGGGATGCAGCTGACAACAATGTTACTGCTGCACAGATAAGATGTCAGGAGTTTTTGTCTGGCCATGAAATTTCACCTTTGACTATTTATGGCCCAGCCAGTATCAGATGAGGCAACAGTGGGATAAATCTAATGTTATTCCTACTGAGATTAGATCCACTGAAATTAATGGGATTTGTTATTAACTGATATAATTTAATTCCCACTGACTTCAGGTCCTAGCAAATCTAGGCAGGGCTAACACTGGATTTAGCGCAGAATGTTCACACACAACTGTAGGTTGACAGTAGATATAGAAAATTAAATTTTACATCAGCTGCTGGATAGGGAACATATCTTTAAATTAGTCTCAGATTTGGAAATCTAGTTCTTCTATTTATATTTGACACTTTCACAGGAGTTTATGTCCAAAGGTGGAAAGGATGGGTTGGGAGTATGCATACTCCCAGCCATGAATGGGCAGGTCAGGTTGGCAGGCAAGAATGTAGAAGTCTAAAGTTATTACTCCAGTCTGTGTATTGCTGGACCTGTAGACCAGATGTCATTAACATATATTAACTCTATCAAGGAACCCATAATCTGAAGCATTACTCCAGCACTAATCCAGAGTCTGCAGAAGGCAGTCTTCCCTTTACATCAAACAGCCAAAGTACAGTTATGTTTTTAAAATGTACTTTAAAGATAATTTCAGATCTATAAAACAGCATTATTCTTTTATGGCTGAATTTATACAAAACAGGTAAAATGCTGGCTTTCCATCAAACAACAACATTTTTGTTACTACAGCAGTAATACTGCTGCTAAGAAATATGTCTACACCAGGATAGAACCCATACTTATCTTATCACAAGGTTTGCTATAGTTTTTCCCAGCAGCTATATAAGTTACCAGGTGAGAGCAGAAATATTACTATAGATTAGAATATTTGTACTTACCCCAGCACAGCATATGAATACAATAATGAAAGATTCAAGAACACCTGCCGTTCCCACAATCCATGTCAATCGCAGGAAGAGGATAACTCCTAAAATGTTCTGTAGACAGGGCAAGTAGACACCAATGAAAGTGCCCATACGTGGAGCCTAAAAACCCATATAGAAGAGAAGAATCTGTTAAGATAATTCTATTTTGCCAAATTATTCTAAACAGAAATGTCATCCTAAAATTGTGATCCAACCAGAAACACACATCTACATATACAGTCACAGAAATGTTCTAAAACCTTTATAACACAATTTCATTTTTGTTTACTCAGAACTAAATCCCACTAAATTGAATGGAACTGACTCCTAGGCAAAGGTTTCAGAGAAGTACTGATGCTCCCCCACAGTCTCTAAATTGAGACCATACTAATGTACCAAACTAAAACCCCAATCATCCCCAGCTAGCCAAGTCGTTAGCTATGGAATCATGGGTACTCTAGTACAATCTCTGGAGGATGCCAGCCTGAGGAAGGCTGGTCCAGGTATAGACTCCACAAAAATGTCATCTTCAACTGCTTCCTGATGAATTAGTTGCAACTGAGTTTCAACTCTGCTGCCATTGAGAGAGGAATGCCACAAAAAAAAAAAGGTTTATGAACTAATAATCTGGCTGGATAGCTCATCTAGTAAGAGCACTAGGGGCCAGGAGTTTGGGTCTCACTGCACCTGCGAGGAAAAGAACCAGTCTTTGTAGCCCTAGGGAAGCTGCACAATCTGGAGTGTCATCAGAAGGCAGCAGTGGTAAATCATTTCTGAGTAATTTATCCCTGGGGAATTCTGGCAAGGGTAACTTTAAGTCCGAATTAACTTGGTCACATACAATTCATTGGCTCTAATTAATAATATTTCCCTTTTAATATGCCCTATGGCTACCACGAAGGATGATTCTACAGCTCAATGACCAGGGACCAACATTTTACAGAGTTGTATTCGCAAGGTCTCAGATAAAGGAATACAGACGCCATCAGCCACTGGCTCATGATGAGCTGCAATTGCTCTGACAAACTGATGGGCAGGAATTCTTTCTCTTTTTTTTCTTCTCAGCTGCAACACTTACTCCAGAGTCACATGGCTTTTGCAACTCAGTCTCCTATGTATGAACAGTCACTCTTCCCAGTAAATGGAACAAGACAGAGAGGAAATAGACTAAATCCATATGCTTTTGACTAAACACCTTGGGGTGGGGGGATGTAACTTTTGGTACTGTTGATAATTTACTTTTTTTCTGAGTAAAAATTTGCCTGTAACACAGTTACCAAGAGAAATAAGTCACCTATTTCACTACATTGTTTTACACACTTTATACTGTTGCACATACCCAAATTCCCCAGGTCAGAAGCCATATCTCTGAAGTTCGTAACAAACATTACTGATTGCAAATATGTTTTAACCTTTTACCTTAATTTCCTTTCGTTTACTATCTTCATCTTCTTCATGTTCTACTACTCCCTGAGTAACATTGGTATAATTGGCTAGCTTATTAAGAAGAGATGATACCATGGGGTTGCTATCCATTTCTTCCTGTTATTTTGAGAGGGGGGAAAAAGAGGAAGAGTACTTTTTACAACAGAAGTCAGAATAAGCAGAACCATGTATCAGAAGTAAAACTTTCAGCAACACACAAGTCAGTGTGAAAGGAAAACACTACATTAATAAAGCAGTATTACTTTATAATATATTACTTTTTATTATATTTTATATTCATAGAAAACTAAACTATATAAACAGATGATGGTTTCAATTGTCAGAATTATTTTGAATAAAACTCCAGGCTCAAATCTCCTAGAATCTTTTTAAGCACAGAAAACTGACGACATAACAATTGTTAGAAGACTGAGTTCTATATACAGTCAATCCTCGACTTACAAACGTCCCTGCCTTTTTGCCTTCGGAGCTCTCAAACGGCTTCCTCCGATGTTGGAAGGAAAGCCCTTTGACACCTCCGAAGGTGCTGATCGCGGTGGTGGGGACCTCCAGGGAGGTCTCCCATGGTGGTGGGCAAGCCCTGGGAGACCTTCTTGGGGGTCCCTGCAGCCGCGATTGGCACCTTTGGAGCTCTCAAAGGGCTTCCTCTGATGTTGGTCGAAACGCCCTTTGAGAGCTCCGAAGGTAATTTTTTTAAATGCTGGAACAGATTAATTCCATTCCCATGCATTTCAATGGAAAATGGGACTTCAACTTACGACCTTTTCAATGTACGAACGCTGTTGCAAAATGGATTAAGTTCGTAAATCAAGGTACCACTGTAATTCTTTAAGATATATTTTTAAAATATTCTTGCATGTTATCTAGAACTGAAAAAGACTACAAAAATCTCTTTCAGGTTGCAAGGCTCTCTTGGGTTCCCTTTTCCCCATGATAAATCCTTTGGGAGCTTTAGGAAGAAAGAGAGAAACTATTAATAGCCAAAAATCGCTACAGCTAGGGTCAAGTAGTGGTGATCCAACAGCAATTTTTGGCTCTGCCCCCTATTCCAAGACTCCCAAAGGCTTCACCAAGGCAAAAGAGAGCCCTAGGGAGCCTTGGGATTTAAAAGGAAGGGGGCACAGAAAGCTTTCAATTAATATAAATTAAATATTCCTGTTGCCAAATGATGACAAGTTACACCAAGGATTCCAGACAGTGGTTGAAATCCTGTTTTGTAACTGTGCAACCGGATGTCAGCCTATGTGTTTTACAAGAATACACAGGAGTCACAGCTGTAGCCAGGAGCATGTTCACGTTCTTCTTTAACCTTTGGATAAAACGCTGAGCTTAATTAAGTTGCAACAAACACAGGGTAAGACTGCATCAACTGTGGCAACTTTTTGGAAACAAAAAATTTACAATGGCTCTTCCAAAGCTCGCACAGTCTCCTTTTTATCATAGGAAGACGTTGGGGGACATGGGATGGGGAGAGTATTTTAATTTATCATAGGAAGACGTTGGGGGACATGAGATGGGGAGAGTATTTTAATTTATTTTAATTATACAATTTTTACCCCGCCCCTCTAGACAGCGTCTACTCGGGGCGGCTACTCGGAGTGCTTAATTTATAAACACTCCCACCACCAGGATAATTGCACAGCAGATTTCAAACAAATGGAGCAAGTATTACTTCTTCAGTACTATATATCTATAAAACATATCTAATTTTGCATTAGCAACAGGGATCTGTAGAAATAAGCTATTAACATTACCTCAAAAAGAGCCATATTTTTCCCTTCATAAATGTTTGCTCTCTCCATGCTTGCATTATTGATAAATGGACTACTTTCTCTTGGAATCGCATCACCTATGAAACAAAGAAAGATGTAATCAGAACATGTGAATTGTGCCTACAAATCCACCAGTAAGACTGTGGTTTATTTCTACAAAACAGAACTGTACTAGCTTTAGCTTGCATCCAACTAGGTGAAATGCATGACGTATATTTTGATACTCAACTTTAAAAGAAATTGAGGCATTAAAACACATATTAGTCAATAAACTCAAAAACTCCTTGCCTGCTTTTCCTTAACTAATACTCACTGCCATTACAATTTGATAGGAAACAAGTATATAGATGATCAAGTACTGCATTGATGAGAAACTTCACACTAAACTCTAAAGTCACTTCAGCAGTTTGGGTTCCCAAATGCAGCAGTCTGCTATTCCACACTCCCTACCCCAAACTATTAACACACATCTGCTGCAGTCAATTAATCTACTGTTATATCTATGTATTGTCCATAGAAAACCACTTCTATAGCTCCGTCTCAGTGCCAGTCCCCTGTAGCAGCTGTAGCATCAGAGCAGGATTCAGAAGACATGAGAGAAAGTCCCTGCTTGGCCATGAGAACTTATTGGGAGGTGGCAGCAATAGTGAACCACTCCTTTTAGAATCCCAAAACTCCTGTTAGGATCACCAAGGGTCAGAAAGATTTGGCAGCATGTCATAGCAAGAACTTTCTGTCTATATTCTGTGTTGCAAAGTAGTCACAAAAAATTTAAAATGCACATGGAGTTCTATAAGAGATACTTTGTACATGCCATGGGCATTTATGACAAAGCTCAGATATGGCATGGTATTAAGATCCAATACTTTAATAATCACATGCTTTCATTTCACTCAGTATTCAAACTCGACATGAAGCAACTTCCTCCCCTGCCCACATCTCACATGATACATGAAGAGAGACATTGCTCTACAATATATGACAAGTTATCACTCATTATGCTCCATGACTCAGATGTCCCACCAGAAAGACTCTACAAACAGTGCTTCTCAAACCATTTGACGTGCAGACTGCTGAGTGCCCTTTACGCTGGTATGTTAAGGACTGGAGCAAGATTGCCAACTTAGAAGACATTGAACAAAGTTTGAATTGAAAAACTGAATACTTTTAATGAAAACATTAAAGATATTGCATACAGACACACATACACAAAAGCAAAAAAGTTACTAATATATATTTAATAAGCATGCTGAAACTAAAACATTTAACATTTGGTGAACTTCAGTTCATCCATGCATATAGTTTCCATATTTGTTTATCAAGTACATCTGATTCAAGAAATAAGGTATGTCTATGTGCATGACTCTCCTGAGAAATCTATATGTGGAACAGGAAGTAACAGTTAGAACTGGATACGGAACAACTGATTGGTTCAAAATTGGGAATGGAGTACAACAAGGCTGGTCTCACTACTTATTTAACGTATATGCAGCATACATCATGTGAAAGGCTGGACTGGATGAATCCCAAACCGGAATTAAGATTGCCAGAAGAAATATCAACAACCTCCGATATGCAGATGATACCACTCTGATGGCAGAAAGTGAGGAGGAATTAAAGAACCTCTTAATGAGGGTGAAAGAGGAGAGTGCAAAAACGGTCTGAAGTTCAACATCAAAAAAACTAAGATCATGGCCACTGATCCCATCACCTCCTGGCAAATAGAAGGGGAAGATATGGAGGCCGTGACAGATTTTACTTTCTTGGGCTCCATGATCACTGCGGATGGAGACAGCAGCCATGAAATTAAAAGACGCTGGCTTCTTGGGAGGAAAGTGATGACAAACCTAGACAGCATCTTAAAAAGCAGAGACATCACCTTGCCGACAAAGGTCCGCATAGTCAAAGCTATGGTTTTTCCATTAGTGATGTATGGAAGTTAGAGCTGGACCATAAAGAAGGCTGACCGCCAAAGAACTGATGCTTTTGAATTGTGGTGCTGGAGGAGCCTCGAGAGTCCCCTGGACTGCAAAGAGAACAAACCAATCCATTTTGAAGGAAATCAACCCTGAATGCTCACTGGAAGGATAGATCCTGAAGTTGAGGCTCCAATACTTTGGCCATCTCATGAGAAGAGAAGTCTCCCTGGAAAAGACCCTGATGTTGGGAGAGTGTGAAGGCAAGAAAAGAAAGGGACGACAGAGGATGAGATGGTTGGACAGCGTCACCGAAGCTACCAACATGAATTTGACCCAACTCCAGTAGGCAGTGGAAGACAGGAGAGCCTGGCATGCTCTGGTCCATGGGGTCACGAAGAGTCGGACATGACTTAACGACTAAACAACAACATGTGCATGACACTCTCCTCATCCCACACAACATGGTATTCTGTGGAGTACTGGAACATACCAACTATGGCACTACACCATAACAATACTGTGTGTACTGTGTGCTGTCAAGTTGGAAACAATTTATAGTAACCCTAAACAAGCTTTCTAAGTAAATGCCATATTTAAAGAGTGGTTTTTATCAAGGCTACTGCTCCCCAATGAGTAGCCAAGCAGAGATTTGAATCCAAATCTCCTGCTTCTTAGTCTATTACTACACCACACTGGGTATCCTATATCAGTATCAATCTCCTGGAAACATATTTCTTGCTCTCCTGGCAACTCATAGTGGATCTGTAACTGGTGGTTCACAGACCAGCACTGGGCAACAGACCATCATTTTGAGAAACGCTGGGTCTACAGTCCTTGCCCAACTTAAGTTGAACTGCCAACTGTGAAAGAGCCAGCCACTGCCTTCTTTTATAGTACAAAGCAGTGTGTGTTTTTTTTTACTTTAACTGCCACATTTAAATGCCTCTTTTTGCCTTTGTCAGAGTCAAACTAAAATGAAGATTGCTTTTCCTTCTAAAAGAAACTGCAAAATCAAGACAATTCACTCTTGTCCCTTTCCTACTTTCATGAAACCTGACAGTCTAAGCCCAGGTATATTTTTCATACAAATTCTGCTAGTCTGCTCAACCCTGGCGCTGGGAGACAGGAAACTGAATGAAATTTCTCTTTATTCAATTTATCTCTTTTGTTACACATTCAGTGCCACAAAATAAGTCATTGGTGTATGAACCAAAGACCTTTCATCCAGTTCTTCTTTCCAAAAATACTATAGCTATCAAAGAATGTAAGCCATTAATTAAAAAAATACATCTCAGATTAGCATTACAACACACCTTTGTGAACTGTACAGCAATAAAAACACCTTCAGTGCTTTGCCTGGACTTGTTATATGAGTAATGCTTCAAAACATCAACACCACAATGAAGACTTAACAACATAATAAAGTGACATATTTAGTTTTTTAAAGGTGGACAAAGGAAATCTTCTAACCATTTTGTAGTGGTAGATAAAACAGTTGCTGAGTAGCAGAACAGTTTCAGACTAATAAACTTATTTTATGTCAACAAGGCACTACAGTACCTGTATCCACTTGCGGCATGCTATTATCAGAGAATTCTTTTTACTCTTTACAGGTACCGACTGAAGTTAGGCAAATGTTCAGCATTAAAATCATATTGGAGATGGATTTATAGGCAACACCCTTCACCTAAAATGAATATTTCCCTTCGGTGTAATTAATGGCAACAGAAGCCGATCTGATCTATAAGTGGTGAACATTTTTGCACTTGTTTGTTATAAAATATTTATTATTTATTTTTATGACAATTCAAAGCAAAGCTCTCTAAGGAATCAGCAATAAAATGCAACATGAACAAGCAAAATTAAACAAGAAATATATACTGTATAAAATGTAAACCAATCAACAGAACATAATTCATATCTTAAAATGCAAACCAAGGCAATTCCAGATACATACAGTATATAGTTCGCTTTAAATCTCTCTGAAATAAGAAAGTTTTCATCACTATCTAAAAAGCAGTCTACAGAGCAGATCTCAGTAACTGTGGCAACCTACTGTACAGAAAGCAGGCAAATTCATGAAGAAATCTTTAGGCAATTTCAAAGCACTATGGGCTAAATCCAATTGTTAACCTCAACTAAACTAGGCCCAATAAAATAATGAGGCTAACTTAAATGTGGATTAAGAAGTCTAATTCATTTGATAGCGATGTAAATTATTTGCCCTACACATATATTCACTCTGCCCCTCAGGGATTGTCATAGACCCTAAAAAGCCCTCTACCCTAAATCTAACATAAAAAACTGTTTCTCAAGAAGTCGTTTAAACTAAGGCCTAAAAAACATAAACCCTGTGTTATGTGCTGTCAAGCCCTCCAAGAGTCCTTGATGAGGTCCAGGTCATTTCACATGGTGTTTATGAAGGGGGGAGGGGTTAAAAAAAACTTTAATGTAAACAATGGCATGAAAAAAATGTAAAATGAACAAGAGTTTAATTTTATACTCTATTTATATACTTGGGATTCAAGTGGAAGACCATGAGCCCTTGACTAGGATGAGGCACCCCCGGCAAGAGGCCTTGCTGGACTCCCCTCTTACCAGGTCTGGTCTAACTTACAATAACCCTAATTAGGTTTTCAAGGTTAGATATTTAAGAAGTGGTTTTTGCCTCTGCCAGCCCTATGTGGATTCCCATGGCTGAGCAAGGATTGAAGCCCAGTTTTCCTGAGTCCTAATCCATCATTCTACACAGTACATAACGGGTACTCAATAAGGACCTTAAAGAGGGCAAACCTGAGTATACATGCTGGATACCACTACTGTAGAAGACCTTACTCCTTCTCTTTGAAGGAGCACATTTTTCAGATTCTGGGTCTTGAGCACCAGCAGATCTTGATGTCAGCTGACACTGCAGGACCAAAGCCACTTCAAGTGTACTTCAAAACTTCAGTCAGTAGTGATCAAACAGGTGGACACAAAAAACAACATAACTAGAGAAGGGGGTATTCGTATTCATGTATCAATATCCTCCCACAGGTACAGATAACGAGGGTCTGGCCCCCTGGGGCCAGACCGACCACTCACAATTCCGCTGCTGTCGTGAGCGCTGCAGAACCTTCCTCTCGCTCCATTACTCACGATGGATTAGTCACTCTGCA